GCCGGGTGATGGGGCTCCTGCGGGGAGGGGAGGTGCCCCTGAGCCTTCCACCGCTGAGCGGGGGCAATGGAGCCAAGGCCGGGGGCTGCTTCCTGGGCGGCGCCGTCCCAGGCAACAGCTGAAGCAGCGCAGGAGCCCGCGGAGAACAAAGGGGTGCCACAGGCCAACCTGCTGAGCTCCCAGGACAAGGAGGAAGAAACCAAAGAAGTTCTCAATGTGAAGAAATCAAGTGAGAGCAAAAGATAGTAAAATTACTTAAGAAAGAATACAAAGAAGTTCTTGAAAAATCAAAGATTAAGTCAGAACTCAACTCACCAGCCAACATTGCAACATAAATGCGTTTTAAAAAGAAAAAAAAAGGACAGAATGTTGGAATAGTGGCGGCCAGGTCTAGAGTGGCCAGGCACAAGGCAGTGGCAGCCAGGCCAGGCACAAGGCAGTGGCAGCCAGGCCCGGAGCAGCAACGGCCAGGCCCCAGAGCAGCAGCAGCCAGAACCAGAGCATCAACAGCCAGCACTGGAGCAGCCAGACCTGGGGCAGTGGCAGCCAGGCCTGAGGCGGAGGCGGCCAAGCCCAGGGTGGCCAGTCCAGGAACAACCAGACCCGGAGTGGCTGGGCCCGGAGAAGCCAGGCCCAGAGCAGCCGGGGTTTGAGCAGCCAGACCCAGAACAGCAGTAGCCAAGTCCAGAGCATCCAGGCTGGGAGTGCCCAGGCTCGGAGAGGCCGGGCCCAGGGCAGCCTTCCCTTCCTTCCTTCCTAACTTCCTCCCTTCCTCCCTTCCTTCCCTTCCTTCCCTTCCTTCCCTTCCTTCCCTTCCTTCCCTTCCTTCCCTTCCTTCCCTTCCTTCCCTTCCTTCCCTTCCTTCCCTTCTTTCTCTCTTTCTCTCTCTCTTTCTCTCTCTCTTTCTCTCTCTCTTTCTCTCTTTCTCTCTTTCTCTCTTTCTCCCTTTCTCCCTTTCTCCCTTTCTCCCTTTCTCCCTTTCTCCCTTTCTCCCTTTCTCCCTTTCTCCCTTCCTTTCTTCCTTTCTTCCTTTCTTCCTTTCTTCCTTTCTTCCTTTCTTCCTTTCTTCCTTTCTTCCTTTCTTCCTTTCTTCCTTTCTTCCTTTCTTCCTCTCTTTCTCTCTTTCTCTCTTTCTCTCTTTCTCTCTTTCTCTCTTTCTCTCTTTCTCTCTTTCTCTCTTTCTCTCTTTCTTTCTTTCTTTCTTTCTTTCTTTCTTTCATAAAGTATTTTTTATTGATTTTTTTTACAGAGAGGAAAGGACAGGGATAGAGAGTTAGAAACATTGATGAGAGAGAAACATTAATTAGCTGCCTCCTGCACACCCCACTGAGGATGTGCCTGCAACCAAAGTACATGTCACTTGACCAGAATCGAACCCCGGACCCTTCATTCTGCAGGCCAACACACTATCCACTGAGTCAAACTGGTTAGGGCCCATCAGCCTTCTGATGAACTTCTTGCATAATTATGACCTGCTGGAATTAGCCTCCAGCACATTCTCACTTTATTTGTTATGTGGTAATTCCTTAGTTTTCAGTAGTGGAAACAGGATAGTGAGGGCCTTAAATATTTTTTGGTTATCCATTTATAATACAAGGTTTGTATGTATAGTATATGGCTTTTCAGACTTTTTTGACTCTGTGAAAATCTTTCTAATTGGTTTTTAGAGTGGGCTGAGGATGAAATAGATTAACAAAATCAGTGCTAAAAGCTACTTTTTATAAGAAAGGGGTCCAGTGCACAAATTCATGCACCTTGAAAGGAACTGTGGGCCTCGAGGTTATGGTAGGCACAGGGGTGGGTCTTGGCCCATCCCCCGCTCCTCTGCCTAGGCCCTCCTGCCAAGGGCCCGGGTCCCCTGTCTGCTGGCAGCCCCACTTCTGCTACCGCTGCTCCCATGAGCTGAAGGCGCTGGCCCTGCTCCAACTTGCAGAAGGTGTGGAGCAATTGGGGCTGGCACCAGCAGTGTGTGTGAACAGCTGCTGCTGCCCTGATCACTCCTCAGGAGCAGAGGGAGGTAGAGTGACAGCGACCAGTGCCTGCCTTGGTCTGGTGCCCCCACTCACCTGCTCCACTATCCCGTCTCAGCCAATGCCTATTATGTTCCACACACGCCACCTGGTGGTCAGTGCACATCATAATAACCAGTTGTTTGGTTGTTCCAGTTGCTCCACCATTTGGTCTATTTGCATAATAGCCTTTTATTATATAGGATCATTATAAATGTCTTGTAAATCTCTGAATTTTGAGGTAGTATGTCATTTAATGTCTAATACTTGTATTCTTTCTGGCTTCAGAAATAATTTTGCTAAGTTTGAAGTGTGTACTATCAACAACAATGGTTTTTTCAAAGAATTTTGCAAAGCAAAAACTTATTTTTAATTAACTTAAATTTTTCTGGAAATTAATTCATTATTAACTCTGGCTGGTGTTCCTTGTTTGCTATCTAGTTTCAGCTAGAGTGGTATGGGCTGTGCATTTTATTATTGAGCATTTATTATGGCTCTTCTGTGTGCAAAGACTCTTCTAGTTATCATTTTAGTGAGCTTTAGTGCTTTGAAGGTAGATGAAAGTTAGAGATGAGGTTCTTTATCTTTAGTAGCAATTAGGTTGTGAACCTGATGTAATTTTCCCAATGAAATTTTGCTCTTTTCTTTCTTGATCTTTTCTAGAATGAAGTCATATGTAGAGCTGGGGATGAGGAGAGAATTTGGAAGCTCAGACTCAGCATATCACCAAACATTAGAAAAAAATCGATGCTCCTCTCTATATTTGTTCTTTATATGATATTAGATATTTGTTTTGGTTTCTGTTTTTTTTCTTTATTATTAGATATAGTGATTGAATTATAAGACACAGATATTGGTTACTTTGGATTACAGAAGTGTAATTGTAGATAACTTAATTTTATTCATTATACAACTAAATCTGCATAGGTAAATTATCTATTTCAAAGAAACTTCATATTGTTAAAACTTCTGTGATAGATATAGTAAAAAAATGATGTTTTTGTTTGCTACTTTTTTTCCACAGTAAAGTGCTATTCTTTCTTCAAAAGCTTGTATTTAAATTTTTTTTAAAGTCCTCACACAAGGATACATTTTCCATTTTTAGAGAGAATGAAAGGGAGGAAAGAAGAGAAGATAGGAAGGAGGAGAAGAGGGAGGAAAAGAGATAGAGAGGAGAGAGGGAGGGAAAGGGAGAGAGAGAGAGAGAGAGAGAGAAAGAGAGAGAGAGACAGACAAACATTGGATTATTTGGTTGAAGTAAATATCTCAAATAATTCTCGGGCTTATTTAGGTCTGTTTAATAGGATTATTTTAGGCAAATTGCAACAGGGTCTTTTTCCAGTGATGCTAATAGAATTATTATTACAGATGATAATAGGATTTTTACAGTGTGTTGAGGCAAATGTGTAGTGAATTGTTCTAGATCTTGGATGCTTGAATTACATCTCAGTGAAGATGTCCAGTAGAGAAGCACTATAAGTTATTGATTAAAAGCCAGAAAGCCTGAGCTAAACTTTTTTCTTCATTTATTAGTCATGTGAATTTGGGCAAGTTTCTTAGACTCTACCTTGGTTCCCTCTTGTGTAAACTGGGAATGATAGTATATACCATACATTTTTTAAAATAAGGATTTTTGAGTCAGTCTTTGTGCTCTATTTTTTTGCTTAGTGTTTTAATAGATTTACATTTCCTTTAAGGTAACTGCTGGGTATTAATGAATGATAAAGTTAGATGATAAAGGTTGAAGTGGAGAAAAAAACTCTAGTCTTACAAACTATATCTTTGATGATGGAATATCAAGTATTGAGACAGATTGGTAATGGTTGGTATGGACGGTAGATTGTTGGGTGACTAAATAATGTGACCAGCTAATGTGTAGATCTTTTTAGCACCCCTCAAATCATTGTAGTTTAGTTGGTGTTGGTAGAGAGAGCAATGGAAGAGGAATCAGATCAGCAAATTAGAAAGAAGTTCTGCTTCTTTCTAATTTTTGTTCAATACAATCTTAAGAAATCCTTTAGCTCAAGCATGTCAAACTTAAAGGCTAACATAGGGCCAAATAAACAAGGTTAAAGTTTATGTGGGCCGCAAAAAAACAATTTTTTTTTCATAGAAATTTTTATAGAAATGTAGATTTATTTCGATAGAGACATGCTGAATACAAAGGGCTAAAATAAATGAGTAATAGTTAACAAAATAATAGGACATTTTAATAAAAATTAATATTTTTTCTTAACATTAACTTACCAGACACTGAATAACTGCACAAATTAATAAGCGAAACACAAATCTATTTTTTTTATTCTTCGAAAGCGAGATATTTCCTCTTGTGCACACCAAACAAGTCAGTACAAGACTAATGACATGTCAGTCAGCTGCTAAAATATTCACTGCTAGTATTAGTGGAGAGAAATGGTGTGCCTGCACGTAAGGCACGTAAGGGAAATGAATGCAACACGATTATAGTGATCAGTCATTCGTGAATGTTGTAGTTCGTTATTAATACTATGTATAACAGGATATTGTAAAAATTAAGTTAATGAGATTTTTATTAAAATGTTTCTTACATACTGATATATTGGCTGGGACACAAAACTATTAGTTGTGGGCTGTGAGTTTGACATGCTTGCTTTAGCTGCTTTGAATCTGTTTTCTTACCTATAGAGATAATATTTGTCCTACCTCTTATAGAGATGTCATTGTAATTAAACAAGATGTTCTGAAAGTGAGTTGAAGCTATAGAGCACTGTATCCAAAGTAAAATTTTTAGTTAAAAAGACTAAAAATGAGATAATACCTATAGAGATCTTAATACAGTATTAGGTACAGTCAATTTTCAATAAAGAATAGCTGATAATACTGTTCATTATTATTGAGGACATATCTATTTATGTGTTAGCCTCGACCTGATTACTAATTAGGTTGCTAAATAGTTTATGAATATATTGTTAATATCTGCTTTGATCCCACCCACTTCTGTTTATGTTTCAGACTCCTGGGAGAGTTGGCTCTCAAGGCTCTGATTTAGATTCATCAGCAACTCCTATTAACACAGGGGATGTCAATAATGAAAACTCTTCAGAGGTATGAAAATAATTTGTCAATATTATTTAAGGGAAAATAGCAAATATTTGGAGTAATGAGTAGTAATTTAAAGTTTCTTGGGAAAAGTTATTATAGGTCTTTCCTACAAAGGAATGCAACTTTTGAATCATACTTATAGACATATACTGCTACTTAGTTGTGAGAATGAAAAATAATATTGCGACTATCTCTTCATTGCTTATGTCATCTCATCTTAATAAAGACATAAAACTAATAAGAATAACACAATTTATAAAGAATTCTTGATTAATAACTATCTAGTTATGTGTTTGTACTGTCATGAACTGCTGAGCTAATGAAAAAATTATCTTTAAAATTTATAGACTATCTTCTGTCTTTGTAAGAACTTTTATCTTTGATAGCTTATTAAAATTAACAGAGAAAGAAAATGTCTAAAAAAGAAATAACTTACATTTTTGAGAAACCAACCTTAGTAGCTGCTTAATTACAATTATCTTTCAAAACAAACAATATTTGCACATTATGGAGAAAGAAGAAAGGAAAGAGAAGAACATAAAACCACCCGTAATGCTGCCCCTAAGAGATCTATACACATTCTGCTCTGATAGTTTTTATTAGTTGACCCTTTCTGGGTGCAATGGTACCACCCACCTAGCCCCCTTTTCTCTGTTCTCCCCTTCTCCTATGCTTTCCTCTGACTTTAAAAAAATCATTTTAGGCTGTACATCTAAATCTATGATTTCTTTAAAATTATTGTGTATGATGTAAGATAGTGGTTGAGATTTATTTATTTATTTTTCTTTTTAAAAAAAATATATTTTATTGAGTTTTTACAGTTTTTACATTTTATCATGTTCAGAGAGGAAGAGAGAGGGATAGAGTTAGAAACATCGATGAGAGAGAAACATCTATCAGCTGCCTCTTGCACACCCCCTACTGGGCATGTGCCCCCAACCAAGGTACATGCCCTTGACCGGAATCGAACCGGGACCCTTCAGTCCACAGGCCAAACTGATTTCAGCTGAACTTTTTCTTACATTTCTTTAGGTTTTTTTTTTTTTTTTTTTTTTTTTTTTTTTCCTGGGAAGCTCTAGGGGGCAACTTAACCTAAATTATTCTTTTTGTTTTGTTTTCCTTCCCATTTTTTTTTTTTTTATTGATTATGGTATCACATAATTGTCCTCATCCCCTCAATCCCATCCCAAACCCCTCCCTACATATGCCTTCAGTCCCCCCCCCCCATCCCCCCCCCCCTTGTCCATGGCCACTGGGCAGGCCCATATGCATGTACACAAGTCCTTTGGTTGGTCCCCTCCCCTTTACCTCCACCCTTCCCTACTTTCCCTCTGAGGTTTGAAAGTCTATTCGGTGCTTCTCTTTCTCTGAGTCTGTTTTTGTTCATCAGTCTATGTTGTTCATCATTTCCTTTAGATGTGTGAGATCTTGTGATATAAGAAATACCCTTGTAAGAGCCTAAACTGAGACAAGCCATAATGGTTATGCTGAGAGGCAAATGAATCAGTCTGTAGTGAGTTCCTTTCTGGACCAACAGTTCTTTTGAGTCCCAATTTCAATGTCAAATAGTTCCTTATGTATACATGTCAGTCATGCTATTTCACATCTGGTTGGTGGCCAAATGGTGGTGATGCAGGTTTCTGGTTTGGTCCTGGGCATCCTTCAGCAACACGCAGCTGCTGTCTGCTGGTATGGCGAGGTGTCGTCAGCATCTTCCATCTCTGAATTGTTTCTTTTCTGTCTTCATGGCTGGAGCACTTCTGTCTATTCCTCTCTGTTACAGGATTCCAGATGGTCTCGGAGTTGTAGATATATAAACCACATTTTCCCATATGGTTATTTTAGTATTATTTGTTGAAACTTTTACCTTTTCCCACTGAATTAAATTTTTACTTTTTGAGAAATCAATTGACCTTATATATGTGGCTGTATTTTTATGTTCTTAATTCTGTTTTATTGATATTTATGTATATTTGTATATTTAAGTCAATACTGTCTTGATTACTGTAGTTTCATAGTTAAATCTTCAAATTTAGATAGTTTAAGTCTCCCAATTTTGTCCCTTTCAAGTTTGTTTTCATTCTTATGTAATAGGTTCTTTACATTTCTTTATAAATTTGAGAAAACTTCTATTAGGATTTTGATTAGAATTATATATAACCTACAGATTAATTTGGGAGAGAGAAGTTCATCTTAATATTGAATTTTCTAATTGTTGCACATGATTTAATTCAATTTCTTTAATTTTACCCAGCCATATTTTATAGTTTTTCAATGTAAAAGTGTTAAATATTTTATTAAATTTATTAATTGGTAATTTTTATTTTTTTATGTTAGTGTAAATAGTATTGCTTCTAATTTTATTTTTCTCTAGTGTGTTTCTATAATATAGAAGTACAATTGACTTTTGTATGTCTATCATTTATTTTATAATCTGGCTAAATTAATTTATTCATTCCAACAGGGTTTTTTTCGGAGTTATATTAGGTTTCTCTAAACCAATAGGTTTATATATGTGTTCTCAGCACCTTGGCATAATGGATGGAGCAGTAATCATGCTCAGTAAATATTTTTTTAAAAGGAATTTTGATTTCAACTGCATTTTTTTTTTTTCTTTTTTAAAATATATTTTTACTTATTTCAGAGAGGAAAGGAGAGGAAGAGAGAGAGAGAAACATCAATGATGAGAAGGGATCATTGATTGGCTGCCTCATGAACATCTGACCGAGCCCACAACCAAATCATGTTCTCTTGACCAGAATCAAACCTGAGACCCTTCAGTCCATAAGCTGATATTCTATCCACTGAGCCAAACCGGCTAAGGCAGTAAATATTTTTTGAATGAAGAGTTGAGTAATTTTATGTGAAAATTTACAGTGAAGAAACCAGAAAGGCATAAAGCTATGATAGCAAAAAAATGCAATGATGCCTTCTTTTAAAGAACTATTATTTTGTAGTTCTATAATAGCACTTGGGACTGTAGTTGTCTGAAAGACACACCTTTCATTATTTAAAACAAGAACAACAACAAAACCCCTGAAAGCCCCTAACATTGAATTCATGTTCCTCACTTTCATCTCCTAGCTAATCTCTTTTAAGGGTTGTTAACAAGAGGAACAATGACATTAATGATGGTCAACATTTATTAATGTTTTCTTTGTTACAAGTGCTATGATAAGCATTTTGTATGTATTATGTCATTTAATTCTCAGGAAACACAAATGAAATGGTTTATTATTATCACATTTAACAGATGAGGAAATTGAAGGTCATAAAATCTAAGAGTAGTGTGAATCCATGATTCAAATCCAAGCTTAGCTGTTAATTGCTACCCTGTCTTGCCTTCCACTTTGGAACCTTGTTTGCAGTTTTCCTTTACTTTTGTCCTAAGTGGCATTAGTGATTTAAGCAACATCCTCATCTCAGTTCTTAATGTTGTCAATGCCAATGCTCATTATTATCTCTTTCCTAGATACTCAAGCCATGACAATACTTTCTCTAGCTTATTAGCAAGCAGAATAATTTTACCTGAAATGTTAAAATCTTATCCATCATTTCTTTTAAAAAAATATTTTTACTGATTTAAGAGAGGAAAGGAGAGGGAGAGAGAGATGGAAATATCAATGATGAAAGAGAATCATTGATTGGCTGCCTCCTATATGCCCCCAACTGGGAATGGAGCCTGCAACCCTTGACCCTAATCGAACTCGAGACCCTTCAGTCTGCAGGCCAGCACACTATCCACTGAGCCAAATTGGCTGGGCTTGTTCTTCATTTCTTACCAGAAGTGCCTATCTTCTCAAAATCTTCATTATATTTTCACTATTTAACTTTGGCCTTGCTGAGTATTTTAGATTTTAATTTCCTATCTTTTCTTCTAGTCTTTAACCTTTCCAGGCTTTATTTTCTTTCCGTTCTCACCATACATTTAATGATGATTGGTATTAGGGAACACTTACAATGTCTCAGGCACTTTACTAAGCATTTTATGTACTACTCAATAACTGTAGAGAATGGCTACTAATATCTGCCCCCTTTTATAGATGAGAAACTGGCAGCAAGTAAAGTAAACTGAGCTCATATAGTCAGCATAGGTTGAGGCTCAAATCCACATCTATTTTTGATAACCAAACTCATGACATTATAACTCTTATAACCTTTGTTCTTTACCACTGTCTTCATTTTGTTTACTTTCCCCAATACTGTTAATTTCTCGATTTTCTTGTCCTTCTTCTTAGGACAAGAAACCTTAAACTATAGCTCAGTGTACCAGTACACATTTTAAAATACAGATATTGTGAGGTATAAGAAATTTGGAAGATTGTTTTAAAATGATGTTATTTGGCTCAGAAAAGTAGAATAAAGGGTCACCTACTGGGAATTATGGATGTAGATGTAGGCAATAAAGGGATCTCAGGCTAGAGGAATATGATGAAGACTAAAAATTGCTTTCATTATAAGAAATTTTGTTTAATGTATTGTATCATTTAAAGGTATTTGTAATACCTAGTAGATATCTCTTGATCTAAAATAAAAGGTAATTGCTTATAATAGCTCTCAGATAAGTAAGGATAAAGTGTCATTAAAAAAACACTAATTCAACTAATAAGCAACTTTATGTGTTTATTTTTAAGAAACTTTATTATAATAAAAAAATGAATAAATGAAAACTTAAAACATAAAATAACTAATTTTAGAAGGCCTACTTTTAAAGAAATATAGATCTTCCACCTTTTGTGTCATTTAGTACCTAAATTTTTTATTTACATATTCTATAATAAAAGAGATAATACTAATTATTTTCCTGTTATGTGTATCTTTTATTGTTTGTATTTTGTTTTATAAAACTTTTTATGTATATCCTCCAAAAAGTTGTTATTTTACAGGGTTTCATCTGCCCGTTATGTATGAAAAGATGTATAACTGCTATTGATTTATCGGAGCATTACCAGAAAGTGCATGCAGAAAATGAAACAAGAAGACAGGAACTTCTTAATGACTCC